ATCAGTCAGGGGCATAACTCAAACAAGTTATTTTCAAAAATAACTCAAATGAGTTATTTTACATTATTTCACAGACACAATTTTTTTTTTGAAAAATAACCTAAATAAGTTATTTTATCCTACTTGGACATTGGTTTCTTGGAAATTTCATGTTTCCTGCCAATTTGCATTGCATTTTGGGATTCCATTATGTAATACTAGATGGAGTTCACCGACTCCAATGGAGAATTGGTGAGGAGGTGGAGATAAACAGCATTTTACTCCTTATTTTGTGGTTTTATCCACATGGTGTATATGTCCAATTTTAATCATTAAATAAAAAAAATTCCCCACTTTTCCCAAGACTTTGAACACTTTTTCTGCATTGAGCAAGGTTTATATTTAGTCAAACATTTGTTTTTGTCTTGGTGCACGAGCAAAATCCTTTGGTGCACGGGGTGTGAAGTTAGGGAGGAATGACAGAAAATAACTTAAATAAGTTATTTATTTATTAAAGCTATTTTGGAAAAATAACGTGTTTGAGTTATTAAGGTTGGGAAAAAGTAGGTCATAGCAAAGAGAAGTAACTCATTCAGACAAAAAAATAACTCATTTGAGTTATTTTTGAAAATAACTTGTTTAAATTATGCCCCTGACTGTTAATGAGTGTTAAAAATGAAAAAGTGCCCATTCACAAGCTTTATTTTTATTTTAAAAATATTTCATTTTTGCAGAAAAAGAGTGAGGATATGGTAGTAACAACTATGGAGATTCTAGAAGTTACGGCGGAAGATTTCAAGACTCCATTCCGTGTTATCTACAATGATCCCAATTCAAAAACAAATGAATATCAACTCTCAATTCCACAAGGTGAGTCATTGTTTGTAATTGTGTCTATTGATGTAAACTATGTGAATTTAATCGGAGGTGCACAACAGCAAAAAAGTCGTGGCTTATAGGTTGTACAACTCGCATGCCACAGGTAAAAAAATATACACAAACTGTAAATAAATTCTTTTCTGTAGGTCATTATTAATCTGAAAACATTTTTTAAAATAATAATTCTGAATTTTCTTATTTTGTAGAATACAGTAACTCTGCCATGCCAATAACAACAACATCAGCAGTTTTTGTGTCACTTTTATCTTTGGCCCTTTCTCTGATATTGTAACACACACTGCCATAGGACTTTTTAAAAATTAACTTACGCAAGAACACAGCAACTTGTGCCTACCTATACAGACAGATTCTTACATTTTTGTGCTCTAATCTTTGTGTCAATTTTTTGTAACAAATACCGAGTCAGACTTTAAATTTCTGAAATCCGCAAACAAAGGAACAAATTCTAGAGACTGTATGTTGTTCATCATGTACATACCTCATTGGATTTATGAGAGATAAAGCAAGGAAGGATTTACCAGAATTGTTTTAGAGATCTACAATATGTTAGAAGTCCCATTCTATGTTCCCTCGTCTTAGTGGAAATTAAGTAGCAAATTGTCGATAATATGGGTTTACCCATGCTTAAATTGCTTTATACATGCTTAAACGTGCAAAAAAAGTACCACTAGAGTTATTTTTGTGCTCTGCTTTCACATTCATTGAGAGATAGTTGCAGATAAATGTTTGCTTGTAAATATTCATTTTTAGCATGAATAGATTTCATTTTTATCATAAAACGCTTAAATATTTGAAATTGGAAATTTGGAAATTAGCATATAAATTCATCTCAGTTATTTTTTCAATGTTACAACTGCTGGAGCGTATTGTTATGATGGTATGTGTGGAGTATATTTAGTACCAGTAGTTTTGAAATGTGAAGTATTGCAAGTTACATGTAGTTTGTAGAGTAATGAATAATTGCTTGAGAGAGATGCCGTATTTCAATGAGTGGGTGTATCTTCATTGAATATTTGTTTGTAAGGTTATGTAATTTGAATGCAAGAATTTGTATGCATATTAAAGGCACTAATAATTTTTTTCCATATATGAAACCTAAAAATATGCATTCAGGGTTCTACACTAACTTTTTTACCTTGGTGGACCGCAGGTCCACTTGTCAAAAATTATTGGTGGACCTTCTCAATATCTGGTGGACCTTTATAAATGTTTGAATTAATGAATCATTACATGAGGCATTAATTAAAGCAAACTTTAATACAAACCGATTCCAGTCAGACTAATAAAGCATAAATCTAACCAGTCAACAGAATCAAATCAATTTATAGGGACTAGTCAGATTTTTTTGTCTGAAATATTGTTGAACTTAAAAAAAACAAAACATATTAATCCACAAACCATTTTTTTTATTATTATTATCATTAGGCCATATAAAATTAATCTTTAGATTCTCATCCCCGCCCGCCCCTCTCAAAGTGTCCCGCCCCGGTGTTTTTTATTTTAATTTTTTAAAGGTTTTTTTCATGTATTTTTATTCAGCAACAATTTGGATCAAAGTTTTAAGAGTTATCTCCCGTCTGTATTAAAAGTCGCGTGCCGCTATTTATAGCAAAAGAGCCATGTGAAGAATGGAGAAAAATCGGCAATAAACGCAATTTAAATATGTAACTTAAGGATAATTTGTCAGTATAGAGAAGGCAGGGAAGAAAAATAGCATAAACACATTTAGATAACATCACTGACAGGAGCAAGTTTTAGAGAGATTGTGACTAAGTAAAAATAGAGACGAGGAAAATGACACCTGGTCAAGTTTAAACGATCTCCAGCTGTGTGTGATTTTGCATAAAAAAAAACAACATCTTAGACAGACTTTAGAGAATGTTAAGTGCTAAGGAAATGGTCAATCTTAAAACTGTCCAGGCCTAGATTTTTCAGTAGAATATTAATTAGAACATTTTATAGATTTTGCAAACATGACCTATTTTAATGTCGAAAACATGTCAAGTCTCAAGAACGATAAAATTTTTTAGGAAGATGGAAATCTATGATATTTTACAGAAAAGAAAGGGATTTGTTGGTAAAACTAAGAGGAACATATAATTGGGAAAAGGCCGATGAGAAGTCACGCAAACACAATTTATTGGTATCCCCACCTCATTTTGTTAAGGATGTGCCGTATAATGTGTACTTGATAATTTGATTAAAAATTTTTTAAAGCAAGAATCTTCTTTAAATATTTAAAAGAATATGAAAAGAATAAAATCTATTCATATTTGCATAAACATAATGAAAAAAAAACTGTGTACGAAGAGTCCATGTTTTGTTGATACTTACAATTTTTAACAATTATAAAAAATAAAATCCGCCCACCCGCCCCAATTTTTTAGCAAATTAGGATGAGAATCTAAAGATTAATTTTACCTGGCCTTACATGTAAGTTAACAATGGTGAAAACCTAAAAAATGCATTTATTTTGCTTATTTATTTGATTATTTATTCAAATAAGTAGTGATATAATACGTATCAAGAAAAAATGAAATTGCAGATTACTTCATAAAATGTAAATAACGACTTTTTGAACATCTATTTAAAAAAAAAAAGAACAATCATGATAAATGCAGCTGTCAATCAATTCTAATTATCTCCAACTGTGTGCGTTCAGGCGTGAAGAGATTTTCACACTTCTCTATGCATTACGTAAACAGAGGCTGGGACTGGCTAATTTGGCACGGATTTTTCATGCTTCGTATTCAAGGTCCATGTTGTATGTTATTGCGTCTAAATATTATTGTTAATATTGGAGTTATCAATTTAACATGTAAAATATATCGAGTTGCTTGGTCCCCTGATTACCTAAAACATTATTTACATGTATATTTATTTTTTGTAAAATACAGGTAAAGAGGAGTTAATAATTTGAGTAACAGATTTAAGAAAAAAACCTGGAATTTCACTGGTTTTTTTTCAATAAGCTGTTTAAATTTTAAGTGGACCGACGGTCCATCTAGTCCAGAACATTTGGTAGACCTTCCAATTTTTTGGTAGACTCGGGCCGCCGGTCCACCGTTAGTGTCGAACCCTGTGCATTGGTTTGCATTTTTGAACATTTTGTAGAAGTCTTGGAAGATATGGTTGTTGAGATAGCTTGTAAATTTTTAACATGTTTAAAGTGTCTTTTTTTTAAAAAACTTTTGGTCTTTCAAAGAAAATCATGCATTGATATCTGTATGAATTGTCTGAATTGAGGTTAAGTTACTGGCTTGGAAGATATATAAAGGTATGAAGATTTAAAGATACACATGTCACTTATATGCTTATTTAGAATATCAATTGTGCATTAGCATTTTGCTATCGTATTCACACAAATTTTAATCTCTTATTTTATATCTCAGAATTTATCGTTTTAAGGGTGAGCGTGAACCAGTCTGAGTGTTCAGTGCTTTGTGACTTTAGTATATATACATTCCAGTGTTAACTTCCCATTAAATGACTGTATTTATGTTTATAACGGAAGATACCTGTTAAGTAAATGAATCATTGTAATAATGCTTATAGTGTAGCCAATTCTTAAGTTTTTATCCTAATTAATGTACATATAATTTGTCAATGTTGCAGCTGTTCAATATAATATTCTCATTGATGATGAAAGGTCATAAAATTTGAGAATATGTCACATTAAACCAGGTGTAGAGAGGGTTTTTATAAGTTATGAAGTGCTAAGAAAAAGAAAGATGTTTATCAAATGTATAAAATTTATTTTTCATTTAAAAAAGAATACCAAAGATAGGGTCTTTGCTTGGAAAATGTTATTAAGAAAAGGAAATTGAATATCATTGAAAATTCTGGCGTAAATATAGTTGAAATTGTATGTCATTTTTTGAAGTTTTTTAAGTGGTACATTGAAAGAAATGAATTTTGTGAAAATATACTTTATGTAAATGAATGCAGGACATCTTATAATATAAATTTGAATATTCACTAAATATTTAAATGTGTCTATTACATGTGTTTAGTAAGTATTAAAACTGTATCAGTAAAACCTATTGTTATAAAATTTGATCTTTAAAAATATGTTAAATAATGGTTGTTTAAGGCAAACTGTATTTATAAAACTATATTTGATGTTGTCTTTGTCAAAATCTTAAATGTTTCAAAAAGTATTCTTTATTTAAATATAGTTCTTTGTAATTTTTAGCCAAACACAGTTCAGCATTAAGGTTCATTTTATATTCTTGTTAAGGCTATCTAAATTTAATTCCTTGGTTCTCAGGCCAATTTTCTCCAAAACAAATGCGGGAGGGCGGCATTTTATTTTTAATTTTATTGGCAATAAAGTAGATGAGGGAGGTATTTTTTTTTTATTTTAATTTCCGAATTTTCTTTAACATAAAGATAATTTTTTTAATCACAGATATACTTTCCATTTCTGGTCAAATTCTCTGCCTTATCCATTGCTTAACAGTGTGTAAACATCGTAGGTAATGTCCTCGAATGTATTTTCAAATGAAGTAGCCAAAATCTCATTGTAAATGGCTACCGGAAGTGATATTTGAATACTAAACTACGAAACAAATGAGGGCAGAATTTTTTTTCCCGGATTGGTCTCCGCAATACCCACTTTTTATTTTTTCAAAAATACAATAAAATCGGCAATGCGGCTACCTCAAAACGGATGCGCGCGGGCCTGAGAACCAAGATTTCAATTTTTTATAGCCTAATATACTTCTGTTGCTTGTTCCATAAGTAATGGTATTTTTTTTTTATCCAAGAGTATGTTGATTTTTTATTATTATCAAATACTGTGTATTCTCATATTGCAAACAAATGAAAGAAAGCTATTGAATGGTTAGTGTTGTGAAAATGTATTTTAATTGAAGTTTAATATGTTCATTAAATTAATGATATAATGCTGTTGTTACTTTTAATGTCTGAATTCCACACACGAGGTATTAATAGATAATTGGAAATATTTTTTAGATTCTTAGGATTTTCATAGTTTTTACCTTCAGTGAGCCATTTCTTCACCTTTTGTGAGCCATTTTTAGCTTTACTGGTCAGAGAGCAGAAGAGCTTATGCGATAGTAATGTGTCCGGCATCCATCCGTCTGTCTAGCTGTCTGTCCGTCTGTCTGTAAACAATTTTTCGAAATGCTACTCCTCCTACAGTTTGGTCTAATTTCAATATAACTTGGCAGACAAGTAGACTACACTAAGATACATAATTCTGTGTATCGGTTTTTGATTTCAATGAACGATGTTGCCATGGTTACTAAGAATAGAAATTTCTGTAAAATTCTTTCAAAATGCTACTCCTCCTACAGTTTTGGTCTGATTTCAATATAACTTGGCACACAAGTAGACCACACTAAGATACATAATTCTATATATCGGTTTTTGATTTCGATGAACGATGTTGCTGTGGTTACTAAAAACATGAGTTTCTGTAAAATTCTTTCAAAATGCTACTCCTACAGTTTTGGTCTGATTTCAATATAACTTGTACACAAGTAGACTACACTAAGAACATAAAGAGACTTTATCAAGGATCATTATTCTATATACCAGTATTGCTGTTTTTAAGTTTTAATTCCCAACTGCTTAAGTACTTTTCTCTTCCTTTGGTATATGTACAAACCAGTAGAGCTTCAGTCTCGACAGAGACTTCTGGTTGTGAATGGCCGTAGAACATTACCTTTTCAACAGATTTTTCTCTATTCTTATTCCATTAATTTGCAAAATAATGGCGTTGGAGACGAAGAGGTTAAGTCTAAAGCGTTCAAATTGCCTCAAGATGGGTCAGCTTCAAAGATACTGATATTGAGGAGAATGCGGACGAGGCGTGTTTTAGGAAGAAAATTAGTATTTCTAGTAGTTCTAGCTGTTCCGTCATCAAGATAACATATAATAACCAAGCTGTGGAAATGAGGTACACAGTCACTAGGTCCCGCTGTGGGATTTGAACCCACGGTGAAGGTTCAGCATGCTAGGACTCCAGAGCAGCACTCTGTATAACCACTGTGCCATGCGGACAGCCGCGTGTTACATAAAAATTACCAATGGCATCTCTTTGTATAATGCCATTTGAAACATTTAAGATTAAAATACGTCAGCTTTCTAATTCAGCTTTATTTTGTTTTAACCCGGCAAGAACCGTGTAAATCATGGACTGGAGGCTTTGAGTGGAGTTATTGGGTAGAGTTCGGAGTGAGTATGGAGTTAAATTTTGGAGTCTACTTTTTTTTAAACATGAAAGGAAAAAGATTTTCAAGAATTTTTTTCATACTTGTTCGCAGTTCATGGCTTGCCACAAAATAGATTCGCAATTCACACCATGACCTAATTAAAATTTGTAAGTTTCTGACAGTGATGCATGTATTTGGAGTTTTGTAAAAAAAAAAAATACACCAGTCGTGAATCGATCAAATGATAAGATAACCCTTAAAATGTTTGGACACAGTTCAATATAATTTATCAATAGATGCATCGTAAATTAAGTACGATGTACTTAGATATGTCAACAAATCTGTTAGGCCCAGAGTTTGTAGCAATTTATAGAATAAGACGGTAGTTTTCCAATATCATACTTAAGAGCGAGTCTACGAGAAAATCATGCAAAATTAACAAGCTAATTCAGAGAATTTGTGTCCCCCGCTTAGGGAAAAAGTAAACAATGCACAGTTCGTGGGGAGGGGGGGGGTCGGATCCCCCTGACTGAATTTGTAGAATTATTAAATGTATACATGTATACTGAAGCGAATAAAATATGGCAATATGGATATAAAGATTCGATTGCTTATTCTTTATTATGTGTATAGAAGATTCTTTTTATATGGAATATTTAACACTCTGTAATGATGATCTTATGAGTTTGTACAAGCCACTCCTAATAAATTTTTCATTTCTCCTGCTGATACTATTATTTAGTTTAAAAAAAAGTATTTCGGGAAAAAAAAATTTATGATTCGCCGGGGAATCGAACCCGGGACCTTTCACATGTGAAGCGAGAGACATACCACTAGACCACGGGGCGCTCTACCGGAAAGCAAATTATATGCAATCATGAAGTCACATACATGTATACATTCATGTTCGGTATTGTCAAAATTTTACACAATATACGGTGTTTGTTTTATTTAGCCTTTATTAAACAGTTCTAATAGATGTAATAAGAACATAACGTCCGCCGAGAACCTGTTTTATACACAATAACTCTCCTCATGCCCCTGTGCTAAAAATAGCGACATGTAATACAATAAATACTAATAAAACAAACGGGGCGGGGCACTTTGAGAGGAGTGAGAGAGGTCCTAGGGAGTTTTGGTATAATATTACATAGCAAAAGTTCAAAATCTTCTTGAAATATTGCCCGAAAATGATAGTGTTTCATACAAACAGAATGTATAAATTTATGACCTTGAACTTTGACCTTTTGACCTCAAAATCAATAGGGGTCTTCCTTAGACCACAGGGAGTTGTTATGTAAAATATCATTGCAAAAGCTCAAAGGGTTCTCGAGATATCGAGTGGAAACGAAAGTGTTATAACAGACATAATTTGCTTATTTATGACCTTGACCCTTGACCTTTTGACCTCAAAATCAATAGGGGTCTTCTTTAGTCGATAGGGAGTTGCTATGCAAAATTTCATTGCAAAAGCTCAAAGGGTTCTCGAGATATCGTGTGGAAACGAAAGCGTTACAGACAGACAGAAAGACGGACAGACGGACGGACGGACGGACGGACAGACGGACGGACGGACAAACCCAAATTAATATCCCCCACTTTTCAAGCGGGGGACAAAAATTTGTTACACAAGTCACATTTTAAAAAGATTATTTTAAATACATAATTTTGAAGAGAATGGACCTATATAACTATTGTGAAATTTTTTTTAACAAAGATGTCCTCCTAGTCGAGATAGCCCCGAATCTAATTATAGCCCACAGGTGGGCTGGATTTTCAAAGAAAAATAGCACTTTTATAAGCCCTTCAAAAAATAAAATGAATCAATGATTTTGAAAAATTTTGTGTTTTATGTTGAATTAATAAGTATAACTTTTTGTTTATAGTTGAATTTTGTTTACCAGGTCTTATTAATTTGGGAAATTCAAAAGGTTTTATGAGAGAAAATTCACTTGACTTTTTATATCTCTATGAGAAACGCAGTGCTGTGTTTGATACAACGGATGAACTTTTGTTTATAATTATCTATCTGATTTAATTAGTTATTTTACACAACATATTTCAAGGAATTTCTTGGATTTACAATGAATCTCGAGATATACACTTTTGAATCTCTTTATTTTTTACCGAAATATCGATCTTTTCGAACTCTTCAGTGTATGAAGAGTAAAAAAGTCATTATTTACATGGAGGGAAAATGGCAGCGATGTCGTCGGGTATGTGTGATTTTGGTGAAGATTGTGAAGAAACGGCGATATATTATTTAAACAGCTGTGTTAAACAAACCTTTCACTACCTCAGATATTTGGACTCTTAACTCTAAGGATATAGATCTGCCCGAAAGTTATTTAATTCTATCCAGAGCGGGTATCGATGTAATCACACTAGCACAGCTAAACAAGAATCAGATACGCGCTTGGTCTGTACTGGAAACGGAGCGAGAGATCTTGTTTTGTCATGGTTTATCTAAAACGAAACCAGACTGAGGCATCACACCAGTTTTGAGCCGGGAACTTTGGTTGGACACTTTAATGCGTGCGTTTCAGAATTTTTATTGTCGGATGCTCTCTTAAAGTAAATATTCAAAATTTTGTAATTAATTACATACAGAAAGACCAGTTCTTCACGACCAGCGTATTCAATAAGTTTTTTGCGCTTACATTTTAATACTAGGCATAAAATACACGCGAGTGATCCGGAAAAGGAGACGACCCGGAATTGGCGACTCCACTGTACTATAATTTGGAGATTCTGCTTGGGAAGTCGAAGAGATTTATTACTAAAATTTTGTTTTGTTTTTTTAAGTAACAGAAGTTCATAAAAACAGGTTTGACAATTATTCTTTGAAAATTAAATTTTAGTGCCTTTTGAAAATATATTGAAGTCATTTTTATATACAATAATATAAAGAGAGATTCTCGATTTTATTTCCTAATATAGATCGAGAGAAATTTTCATTTTATTAAGGTTTTGCATCATTTGTTCTCAATATTTTTCCAATTATACAAGATATCGGCACCACTGGCACTGAGATGTTTGAATTAAATCAGTGCATCAGGTCATTTGTTCACGTTGTTTATTCCACATAATCCATATCCTTAATTGATTGAAACAAATGGTTTAATTAATACAACAAAGTTCAAAAGTCAATAAGGAGTTACTGTAATTGATTCCTGTCAACAAGTGACAATTACTACATACATTTGATACATGTAAGTCTAACCAAGTAAATGGTCGTACATGTATGCGAACCGTCTTAATTGGGACGAAACGCCTCAGTGCGAATGGTCTGTGGGGACGAATCGTCTAGCACTGAAACAAGAAAAGATAAATACAAAGCATATTTGATGTTTTACACGACGATCCTGTAAATAGTCATTCAAATAATATACACGACGGTCGTGGGAATAGTTATTGAAATTATATACACGACGGTCGTGCTAATAGTCATCGAAATTATATACACGACGGTCGTGCGAATAGTCATTGAAATTATATACACGTGCGAATAGTCATTGAAATTATATAAACGACGGTCGTGTATATAGACACTGCCTGAAGGTAATAAGAAATTTGTCAAACTGACCAAGTTATGAAATAATTTCCTTGAATTATTATACTTAAACTTGATTTTTTCCCTAAACAATTAAGTCTTGAATATATATGATTCCTAAACTTGCTACTTATGTAGTTAAAAGTTTATGGCAACAAAATGACATAACAATAAGTTTA